GTCCTCTTTTGGAAGGTCAAACAAAGTAGTTTCGCTTTCACAATGAAACACAGTGCCTTCACGACATGACAGTGGCGGCATCAACAATACTACAGCGAGAATAAAAGTTACGCCTTCTTTCTTTGCGTGAACATTTGGGCGGTGTTATGCAAATCTTCCCACATCGTGACGTAGGCATGTGGGGGCGTGTTAGAACGAGCCGTTTTAGGTAGGCGTGGTTGACTCTTAATTTTTATAAAGAATGTCTCTTTGGATTTGAAACTTTAGTCTTTGCAACTTTACAGATCTTCTTTATGCACCAAGAGCTTGTAACACTTCAAAAAGAAAGGAAAAATTTAAATCGCATCATATGACCCCTTTAAACTAAAGGATTTTAGCAATACTTTTGTAATGACATTAGTATTTCACCTGTCCAATCAAACAAAAGCATCACAGTTTGAACGGTTCAATTACACAACCACCTGCTTAAATCTGTATTGCAAAATCAGCATGGAAACAGCATTGGATTCCATATGGGCCTGCCGATCATTCTCGTTAAAGTAAACGCTACTAAACGGTATAATTGCGTGTATTTAGGCAGGGTTTTGGCAGCGGAGTGGCTCTGGAGAGCTGTGGAGTATTTCTCGCTGTGCGGTTATGTAGACATGTTGAATGTGTGACTACCCATGCTGCTGCTGCTATGAGACGCTGTCAGTATATTCTCAGTGGCCGTTGTGACTCATTCGTCCCGTTCTGTGACTCAGCTCTCACCGCAGATGCCTCCCGTTGAAAAACATCTCATGGAGACGGAGGTTAAAGGGAGGCTGACGAGATTGGTGACATCACAAGAGGTGTGTCTGTTTAAAGATGGCCCTCGCTCGGGTGGGAAGGATAAAGTGGCTGTGTGTGTCTGCTTTTGGTAGTACAACAGCATCTAGATTTGTTCGCTGTGATGAACCGTGCAGATTAAAGGGGAGCTCAACAGCAGATAATGTCTGCTTCTGTCTGGGAAAAGAAACCCTCTGGCCTCTATTTTCAAACACACAGTCCCACAGGGCCGTTTGATGCAGAGAGCAGTCGGTAACTATCCCAAACAGAGCTGCTCTCACACAGACGAGAGAGATGAACCCCCACCGCTTCAGTTCCTGACAAAGTACACATGGTCAGATCAAGATGAACAGTGTTGTGCTTTGGGTTGGGTTGCATTAGAATGGCCTGTTCTCCTTCTGTGTGTGTGTGTGTGTGTGTGTGAGTGTCAGAGTGATGAATGAAGGTCTCTGTTTGTGGTGTGTAGGGCTAGTCTAGTTTTAAACTATACTCACCTACAGTGGATGTTACCTGCTGCTGAGGATGGAAGCGAGACCAAAACCTTTTAGACTGCTAATGATTCACAGGACAAGACAAAAATATGTGATGAGTTGACATGCTGACGCACAATACATTTTTTTTAATGTTTTTGAAATAAGTCTCTTATGCTCACCAAAGCTGCATTTATTTGATTAAAAAATAGGGGAAAACTGTAAAATTGTGAAGTATTATTATAATATACTGTAATAATGTTTACTTTTATAACTGTTTGAATTAAAATTTAATTTATTCATGTGATGACAAAGCTGAATTTTCATCAGTCATTATTCCAGTCTTCAGTGTCACATGATTCTTCAAATATTATTCTAATTTGTTGATTTGTTTCTTAAGAAACATTTCTTATTCATGTTAAAAACAGTTGTCTACTTAATATTGTTTGTGGAAACAATGCTACATTTTATCAAGATTCTTTGATGAGAAAGTTAAAAAGCAGCATTTATTTGAAATACAAATGACATTATAAATGTTACAAATGTTACTGTCACTTTTAATTTATTTAATGCATCCTTGCTGTATGAAAGAATTATAGTGTCATTATTCAGCTCCAGTCAGTTCAATGATGGTTCAGTTCAGTTCAATAACAGTGTCGATGTTGCAAAATTCAAGAATTAAGAACAAATTCAATTCATAAACCAGACTCTGTCGGGGGACCAGTCCTTCTCTGGTCTAAATGCACAAACACAGTGCAATATTGATCAGGAAACATCACGTTGGCATTAGGTGGGAAGGAAACCACCTTTCACTGGGTTAAGCTGTTTTTTTTTCGAGGGGGTATTTAAAGAGACGTTAGAAATGGTCATGATTAGAATAAATGCCTAACATATGAAAATAAAATACAACAATATTATAGATGATAACCACTTGTAAGTAATGAAATGAGTGGAAGAAACCAGTGTTGTCGTCGAGATCTGCTCAGAAGTCAAGACCAAGTTCAGAAAAGGGTCACGTTTGAGTCGAGTCTGAGTCAAAGACTGCATTTAAATGGTGCTGGTCTTATGGACTGGAGAACAAGTGGACTCAGTCTTGACTCGAACTCGACCCTCTTCTGGTCTCTGTCTAGACTCTGCTTTAATGAGCTGGTCTGAACTACAGAAACAACACTCAGAGTTTGTCTATACCCAGTGACTGTGACACTAATTTTCTCTGTTTGTTTCTTCTTCTCAGGATGGTTGAATACTCCCTTGATCTCCAGAACATCAACTTCTCTGCCATCAGAACAGTGCGTGTACTCAGACCTCTCAAAGCCATCAACAGAGTACCCAGTGAGTAAACACACACACACATACACACACACACAAACACACACTTATCCCCAAAAAATCTGTGTTCTGCAAACCTCAGGTGTTACACATGCTCTGATTCATTGTGTGTAGGATTTTACTGGTTGTGTTAATGCCAAGCCTTTAAAAGCACCCTCATGTGTCGGCTCCAACCCCTGCCCTATCAAACCCATGGTAGCGTGCATGTGTAGCTTTGTATTTGGTGTGCAGGTCTTCCAGAACAGCAAAGCTGGAATGAATCAAAGAGGATTTCAGAGCCATTACTTTTCTGCCACCACCATTAGCAGAGCCAGATTAATCCCTCCTGTAATTGGGTAGAAAAACAGTTGTCCTTGAACAAACGCCATAATTCATATTCCTCTGTCTCACGTTCACACCCCTCCCAAACATTGTGGCCTTTCTTTGAGCTTCTATAAGAAGCCCAGGATTTATCTATATTTCAGTGCCCATGGCAATGGTGTAGCGCATGAAATATGAATGCTAACTGAATTAGCTCGCACTTGATTTCGCTGCTCGAAGTCTTGATGAAGAGATAGTGAGTTTTTGAGGGGAGGGTTTCAGGAAGTGTTTGTAGAATGTAGGTCTTTGTGTGTTAACTCGTGTGCATGTGGGGGGAAAAAAACAGATTTTGAAGACGCACACAAACCCAATGCATACGCACTGTTACACACTCTCCCTCCTGCATGCAGGCATACAGAATTAAATTAACATCCATTTAACTGTGCATGTAGCATGCCAAATTGTAGCAAGGCTTTATGCAAGATTTTATTAAAGGGATAGTTCACTAAAAATAAACATGCAGTCATCATTTACTCATTCTCATGTCATTCCAGACCTGTAGTTTTTTTCTCCTTCTGTGGAATAGGCAAATGGATATTTAGCTAAATGTTTGCAAAATCACTATCTGCTTTTGTTGGAAAAGAGCAATGTGGACATTTTGCATGGTTCCCATGGTTATCAAAAACCTGGAAAGTTCAGGGAATTGTAAAAATTCAGTGGCAAGAAAATTTCTGAAGTTCCTATTTCTGATTAGATCCTATTAGAAAATTATTATTATTATTATTATTATTTTAATTATGGCAGAATTTTCACATTTGGTGAACTTTGTAACATTGAGAAAAAAACAATACGGAGAAAGAAAGAAAGAGAGTCTTGATAAAGACATGGAAAATTATGTTGTGATATCTAAAAAAAATAACATCCCACTTGGAAACTAAGCTCGCATGTGACCTTTGCATCACACGTTTTAAATCATCCTCTTCTCTCCTCTTTATTTCATTTTATTTTATTTTTTATTTTTTTAAACTGTGATTCCCTTCATTTCTCTGTAAGTGGCCCAAGACAGAATTCTGCTTTCATTCCAGAGGTCCAGATATTCACAGCACCAGTCGCTTCACCTGTCCACATGACGTTTATAACATCTGTGTGTTACCACACACGACTCGATGTGTTAATGTGTTCCATCAGTGTTGTGTTAGTTCCCTGTTGTGTTTCTCCAAAACCACAAACACTGCAGTAATCACATGCTGCTGTTCTCCAATCAGAACGTACACACACCCTTCATTCAGTGCTTCACTAACACACACATGAATACACGCTCACTCAGAAACGATCCCACTTGTGTGGAAGTAAAAACACAAATTAAGTTTTATGAAGACAAGCTTTCAAGAGTTGCTAGACGGTCACAGTGATACAAATTGTTATCTACAAATAAATGAAGGATAAATGACTGGATGACCTAAAATAACCTAAGATTGGCAATGTCTAACTTACGTAACGTGATAATTTATGACTAATCAGTGAGAATTACATTGATTTTATGCATTGAGATTTGCTTAATAATAGTAGTAAGTTGTGTCAGAGGTAGAAAAAAGTTATTACATTTCATGAAAGGATATTAAAACCTTTTTTTTTTTTTTGAATAATGAATATCTCAGTGCACATTATTCTTTCGCATGCTAATCTTTTTCTGTGTTCTTGTGTTTGTGTAGGTATGCGTATCCTGGTGAACCTAGTGATTTGCATTGTTTCAAAACAAAAGGAAATATACATCGGCATCAGCTATCTGCAAAAATGATTTGAAAAATATCGGCATATCGGATATCGGCAAAAATGTTATCCTTGTCGTATATTCTCAAAATCGTCGTTTTTAAGATGTAAACTGGTCTTACTTTCACTTATCTTCTCACATGTATCCTTTTGTTTAATCTCTCCTCTCATCTTCTTGTTTTTACTGTCTACCTGCCACTAAAAATACAAATGTGGTTCCACCCAGTCGGTGGCTCCAGTTGATTAAAACTCAGATTGACGTCCATATTCATGAGTGGGTGTCTGCCTGAGGTTACCGTGCCAACCATGGAAATGTGCTTCTGCTCTGTTTCTTTGTCTTCTTCATTTTTGGCATCATTGGCGTGCAGCTGTGGGCTGGACTATTAAGAAATCGCTGTTACCCAGAGGAGAACTTCACCCTGTGAGTACCAAAAGAGGAGGGCTGGTGGGCTTAAGGGAGTGAGAGAGAGAAAAGACTGAATGTACTGAATGTTTTCATCTGTGATTTCATTGAGGACAAAAGCAACGGATCCAAAATGTGGGTTTATTTGGATGACAGTTTAGGTTTACAAGGATAAAGAGATTGAATTTAGGAGGCCGGATCTTCTGGAAGAGGCATTTCGGAGTACCTGATCAGTCCATCATTGGATTGGACTTGTATTTCAAATGTCCTTTCTCTCGAAGAAGGGATACTTGATGTAATCAATGGATATTTTGGGATCACATGGACCTTGGGGACCAATAAACAAATTGTCGTTCAGTTCCATGTAGGGATGCACAATATTATTGGAACATTATCGGAATTAGCCGATAAAGTTTTAAAATGTAAACATCGGCATCAGCTGATGTGAAAAAATTATGCCGATAAGACAAATAACTCACATGTGCTCAGAGTGTGCTAGCTAGTACTTGTAATAAAATGAAAGTTAAATACACAAATAACATTAAGATACTTGTGTTTCTGAATAAATAAAGCAGTAATTGATGTCATAAAATCACAAGTCTGTTTTGATTTAAAGGTCAGAAGCTGTAGCTTACATGAATAAAATTACAAACGTGACAATTGTAAATTAAATAATTTAATGATAAAGATATGTTCATTTATATGTAATACATTTTTTTAAGGGAAAACGTTTTTTTTTATATATAATTTTTACAGCTCTTTTGCTTTAGGCCATCTATTAATATTAAATAAAAAAATGTTAAGGTTTCAACTGCATTTATCTGGAGAATACGGCAGAGATTTATTTTATTATAGTTATTTTCAAAACTTTCAGTGTACTCTTATTT